CAGTGTTGCCAGGTTGGGCGATTTTTCGCCAATTGGGCTATCTTTATGTGTCTACTGGCGACGAAAAATATGCTTTGGCGACCAGTCGCCGATTGGGCTACTGTATCAATAATATCTAGGCGATTTGGGCTATAATCAAATTATCATTAAAATAGGTTTTTCTGTCTCTGGAATAGGTAAACAATTGTGCTACTTTATCATATTTTATTATCAATATTCAATAAAGTCTGGACGTTCTAAATCGTGTTTTCGCCGTTTTCGGAAAAAAACTTGACGCTGTGATTGGCAGATCAGTTCAGTAATGGGGAAGTATTCAAAGTACGAAAAAAAATATAATAAGGATTGGGAACTCTTACCATGCTTTTCAGGTATATTATTCAAATAACTTTCATAGCTATTGCAGTAATGCAGTATAAAACAATGTTAATAATTTTACAACCTATATAGGATGGCTTCAAAGAGCACCTGATGAATTCGCAGGCAAAGGAGAAGCATATTGCAAGTTATGTAGGACACCATTACGAGCACATAAGACAGATTTAACAAAACATTCTTCTACTAACTGTCATAAACAAAGAGCCAATAGTTTAAACGTTAAAAAACAGCCTGCCTTAACATCATTCGGTAAGTATTGCTACAATAACTTAAAAGTGTTTAGTGTACTTGTAGTTAAAAATGTTAAAATATATGTTTAGGAATTGGTATTAAATCATATAATGACAAAATTAGAGACCTTAAGATAGCTCTTTTCATCGCAACCCATTCTGCAATCAGAAGTGTTGACCACCTCGGTGAACTTCTAAAAGCCATGAGCGGTACAAATAGTTGCTTTTCATCATTAGATTTGCATAGAACTAAATGCTCAAAACTGATTATAAATGTTATTGAACCTTGTTTTCTGACTGAGTTAATAGAAGATATTGGAAGCAATCCATACTCCATCATTATTGATGAATCAACGGATATCGGTACTAATAAATACATGGCATATTGTGTACGCTATTTCAGTCATTCCACATCAAACATGGTAACAGAGTTCTTAGGTTTTACTGAAATTGAAAAAGCTACTTCTGAAATACTCAAAGATGTATTCATGAAATTCATTGAAAAATCAAAATTAAAGTTGCAAAACTTAGTTGGTATAGGAACTGACGGTGCAAGCAATTTATGTGGAAAAAATAAATCTCTTTTCACACTTTTGAGAAATGAAGTTCCTCATCTTCAACTAATAAAATGTGTATGTCATTCTCTTAATATATGTGCTGCTAATGCATGCGAAGAGCTTCCAAGTAGCTTAGAGTTCTTGCTTAGAGAATCCAGAAGTTGGTTTTCACATAGTTCGTTACGGCAAATGACATATAACAATTTATTCCAAGCCCTGCATGATGGAAAACAGCCTCCTTGCTTAATTCAATTATCCACGACACGATGGCTTTCCTGGCATAATTGTGTAAAAGCTGTGCTTACTCAATGGCTACCTTTGAAAACGCATTTCGGAATTGTATCTCAAAGTAAAGAAGGGTGCTATACTTCTAGAACGTTATCTGACATGTTCAATGATGAAACTCACTTACTTTATCTATTGTTTTTAAATCCAGTTTTACATGCTGTAACTCAAGTAAATCTTGTTTTTCAAAGTACAAACATTGATTTGGGTAAGGCATATGCAGATTTGAAAATGTTAATTATATCTATGGCTAAGCGCATATTAAAACCAAATCATATATCTAAAATTATTCATAATAGCACTGATGGTAAAATGATTAGTATTTTAGATATTGAACAGCTGAAAAATGCATTACTCTATCCTGATGCTCATTTGCCTCTTACATCTATAGATTTTGGATATAAATTTAAAAAGCAATCTGATATTAGCATTTCAAACAAGTCAATTAATAGTGAACAATTGAATACAGTTATGAAACGTTCAGCTATGTTCATTTTTTCTTTGTGTCGTGAAATGTTAAAACGATTCCCTCATAATGTGGCTGTGATGGAAAAACTGAGAAATTTGTCACCACAAGAATGTTTTAACATAACTGGATTTAGACCATCATTTTCTGAACTTCCCATTGATCTGGCTGGTATGAATATTAATTTAACAATAATATGTGTTTAGTTATTTGTTTATCCATATTGTAAATATTATATTAAGTTAAACAATCTTATAATTTAAATAGTATGTGACATGTGTAGGTACTAATGTATTATATTTCTCAGGTACTAATAATGATACTGATATACTAGAAGTCCAATGGAATAATTTAGGAACATTAAGATTTGAAGAAGTATTCCCTGGTAAAAATATTAAAGATATTTCTCTTCTAGAGTGTTGGATAGAAATATCAAAATTAAGAAATGCTACTGGAAAACAAATGTTTAAAGAATTAAGTAATTTTGCACTTCGTGTTTTGACATTACCAGTATCAAATGCAGTTGTAGAGAGGGTATTTAGTGTGATGAATACGACAAAAACTAAATTACGAAATAGAATGTCTATGAACATGTTAGTAGCATTAATTAGAATAAAACTTCATTGCAGAGTAAAAAAAATATGCTGTGTAAATTTTACACCTACTAAAGACATGTTAAATTTATTTAATGATAGTATGTATGATTATGATTGTAAAACTCAAACAGTTGCATCCACCAATGACATGACAGATGATATGTTTGAAACTGTAACTCTTTTTAATGCAGATGATCTTTCTATTGATTGACTTATTATTTTTATTTTCTTTAAATATTTTCTTATTTGCTTATTTTATTATATTATAATATAATATAATAAGTTAAATGAATTGTTTATATTTTGTTAATATTAATCACTCTATTGATTTCTATATTTTATGAAACTGAAAGTTACTTTACTACCAATTATTTTTATTTTATTATATTGTAATGTTCTAAATTCACTAACAAATTAAATGTATTGTTTTTATTTTGTTTAAATATTTGCTTATTTTATAATATTATAATTTTCTAAATTGGCTAATAAGTTAAATATATTGTTTTTATTCTGTTAATGTAAAAAATTACTATTGATTTCTATATTTTATGAAACTGAAAGTTACTAACAATTATTTTTATTTTGTTTTTATAAGTTATTATTTTATTATGTTGAATTGTTTTATAATAGCATAAACAAGTGAAATGTTTTTTTTTATTGTTATAATATTTTGTGATAAAATATACCCAGCTCAAGACTGTCTTAATTTATTGATTTTTTTAAATAAAAATATTATATAGATTTGGTATAGAAATATAAATTTCTC